AGAACAATACAGATACATATATGACAGGAAGAGAAAATACCCATAGCAGAAGAATAGAGAACGAATATATATATGACTATTATACAATTGTCTCTTATGGCACGTCTTTAATATGTGCCATAACAATTTGGGTATTTATTTTAGCAATAGTACACAAGTCTATATATGAATGATCGGAACGAAGGAAAGATGGGAAAGAAATGAAAGCACTATTTCAATCTGCTCTAATTTCTCTAACAGCACAAATAAACTGCCACGACACATCATTACTATAAATAAAACCGTTTTTAAAACCATCTCATTTTCATGTGATGATTCAGCATTCTCAATGATTTCTGTAATTTCTTTAGCGAATTTTAGTTGCACGGAAAATCGAATCTGTGATGATTGAGCATTGTCAATGGCTCCATTAGTTTCTTTAGTGAAATTAGTTGTAAGGAAAATGAAATATGTGAAGATTTAGGATTATCAATGACTCCTAAATTTCTTTAGTGCATTCGAGGCGTAGATGAAATTAAATATGTAAAGGTGAAGCGTGATTAGTAACTTTTAATTTTTTTAGTGAGTTTTAGTTTTAAAGAAAATAGAATATCGGAAGTTTCTGGATTGTCAATGACTCGTTCAGTTTCTTTACTGAAATTTAGTTCTAAAGAAAATCGAATATGTGAAGATTCAGGATTATCAATGACTCCTTTAGTTTCTTTCGTGAATGTTAGTTGTAAAGAAAATCATATATGGAAAGAGTCACGGTTACTCATGGCTCATATAATTTGTTATGCACTTTTTGTGCTGGTGAAGGGATAGAGGCCACGGTATGTTGGGATGGCAAATTAAGGGTTTCGGGAAATGTTGTTGTTATTGAGTTTCATTAGTTGCTTTTGTTTTACGGGATAAAGCAGAGAAGTTATTTGAGAAAGTGTTTTAGTACTGTACGTTCGGTGGTAGTTGCTAGGAGATTTCTGTGTTGAGATTTAACAGTATATGGTTAAAAGTGGCGGACTAGACGGTTCCTAATTAGTGTTGCGATAGGATGAAGCATTGACTTTCTATAGATAAGAAATAGATTTGGCTTTCAAGTCGATATCGTTTAGCTGATATTTTTATTTTAAGATGAAAACTCAGTTTAGACTTGAAGTTTATCACATACCGTTCCTCTTTTCTGTATTTATATCTGTAGAAAGATATATTGATGGCTTTAACTTATATTTTGCACACATAATATCGGAAAACCACATAAGTTGCTATGCAGCCGCCATTACCGACTATAGTTGATCAAAAGAACAATTTGATGCCATTTTGATCACATAACGAACGGTAGTTCATAAAAAAATTGAAAAAAGTGCGTTTTGGTTTTGAAAGTAATGGATATTGAAGCTTTTCGTATTTCCTCTATATTTTTCATACTTATAGTATATAGAGAAATGTCCAATATATTTTGTGTAGAGAACTGAACAGGGTGGGGAATATTTTACAAATAACTAAGTATGAGTGATGAAAATTGAAAAACCATTGAGGAAATACTGAGACCACCATTTATTCTAGCGCACGTTATTATCATAGTTTTATTGGTCGAAAACTATTTCAACTATATTTCATTTTCTTGATTACGATCGAAGATAGAGAATTTTTTTTCTTTTATCTTGTATTTTATGGAGGTCAATCAATAAACAGTTTTTTTTCTTTTTTTATCTATATATTGTTTATTGCATTACCCAGTCATTTTATAAAATTGCCAAAAAAGAGAAGTCATCCTTAACCTTTTCTGATATAAAGTTAATATTCTTTCTAAAGAAAACGAAACATGATGCGGTGTATAGAAAAGCAAACAGTAGTTGGAAAATCTTCCAAATAAATCTTGCTTTGTTGAAAAACTCTGTGATTTGACTATTATGATATTTCTATTTTCTTATTTGCAAATGTTAGACGTAATTAGAGGCGAGGCCTACAGCGACGTTTCTCCCTCATATTCACAGAAAATACTCCACTTGAGTATGGCTTTGAGTATGATTTCTAGCGCGGCATCCACAGATGACTTTCATATTTTCCTGGCACAATGTTATCATTGTAAGCGCAAAATGTAACCTTATTGAAATAAACTCAGAGACATCGTTAAACGATCACATATTATCAGCGACTGTGAGACTTCTTTAAACTTGTCATACTTACAACAAAACCTCAATACCAGTTTATTCTAGTATATTACTGTGAAATACATTCACAATGAGTAAAATAAAAAAATTATATAACTTGTACTACCAGATTTTTGAGATGACAGAAGATGATTGCGAATTGTAAAGCACCCATTAACAATTGCTAAAAATTTAGAGAAAGATTCGAAATGTCCAATTGCTTCCATTGCATTGCAGAATTGATCAGTCTATATTTTGTATGCGACAAAATTAGAGAAGTTTAATGTAATATGCCGTCGATTTATGTTATTATTACAATTTATGCGATCGAAAAAATTGAAAACCATATTTTTGTTCAAAAGCTTTTCGAAACTCTATCGGAAATCAGAGGGTTTTGTAAAGTTTTTCTTGATTTCTTCATTCTGTTTTTTACCCACAATAGTGATCATCAGCGAATCATTTGCAAATAAATTTCACGAATGTGAGAAAATTAATCATTAGTCATCATCTTCTAATCATTGGTGATCATGTATAAATCATTCTTCTTGGCAATTATTGAACATTAACCAAAATTCAAGATTCGCTAGCGACTCTGTGGGGAGACAATGAGGATTATGCATTTTAGGGACTCCCTGGGGAGCGTGAGGGTGGCTCCCTAGGGACTCCCCGGGGAGTACACATTTTTAGGGACTTGGAGGGGGACTCCCCGGGGATTATGCATTTTTCGGGGAGTCCCCGGGGACTTTCAGGGGGAGAGTCGACTAGGGTATCGTAGTGGCTAGTTGAGAAACGTTGATCATAGGGTACTCATCGTGGAATAAGTCACCCACTTTTCACGGCTTTGCAGAAAGTATTTCTAATGTCAACGAGTCCTAGGACACTTTTTTCACTATCATATATGTATGAACTTATAGCGCGAGAAATTCTCTATCGATTGGTATATCTATCGTAGTGGCTAGATTGTAAAGGGTGTCATAGATTATCTTAGACTGTTTGCACATAGGAGATTATTTTCCATAGACGGAAGTATTTCTAAACATACTTGGCCTCAGAGCGACTATTTCCTTATATGTAATATACAGAAATACAGCGCAGAAAAAGAGCTTTCGAATGACATATGATAGAGGTATGAGACCGAGAGAAACACACTCGAGAATATGATCAATAATACGTGTCAGAAGTGATTACAGTTAATTGGACCCAATTTTTCCTGAGAGCATTTCTAAGGTCTGCCGAATGGCTAGAAATGTTCTTCTGTTCATTCTGCATCTAATCATGTATGTGTCGATGGAATTCAAGCAGGGGCCGATTCCATCAAATAATCGCCCCCGTCGTTTTACAAAACGGATACTTAACTAATTTTGCACAAGTATGGCGATCAGAACGAAGCGAAAAGAAAGAATTTTATCTCCTATATTGATGCGTAATTATACCCTTCCTTCACACGATGTTGTTGATTGTGTGTTACATTATTTTTTAGATAAAAAGAAAATGGTTTGTAGGCATTTTGCTTTATTTATGACATTTCTTTATGATGCATACTCATAGTTCGTACAGCAAGCAAGAAAGTGCTTAGCACAAAATATACAAATGCGGCTCTTTCAGATCATGCAGTTTTTCTAAGTTTTTGAATATTTTCTTAGTACTTTTAAAGCTCTTTTTTACACTTTCCTGAAGTGTATTACTTTCCAGGTTCGCACAGTGGGCATTTTTTGCTAGAGCAGGCGAACTTTAGCTTTATGAGTGAACTAAAATTTCATGAACCATTTTTTTATAGGTTTTCATGATCCACTTTCTAATGGCATGAGAGTTGGGTTTTGAAAAAGTTTTCTAAGGATTTTTCCAGAGATTCGGCCTCTGGAAAACCCTTCAGAAGACTTTCCCAATATTTAAAAACGATGCCAATGGAAAGAGCATTGACGAAAACCTATAAGAAACATGTTTCGAGTCGCTCAGGTTACTTTATCTTGAAATTCAAATTTTCAGCACGAAATTGTTTGTGTGAATCTCAAACACTAAGAAATTTCTAGAATTCGTAATCGAGTGACCGAAACTAGATGAGTTATACACCATTCGATGCAGTTTTTCACGCTGATTCCGAATATGACCTTACTTTCAAGAAAAAGTGCTTTTTTGAGGGAGGAAACTGCGAAATACTCGAAAATCCACAGGGTTTTTGGAAAGTCTGTAACTCAGCACCCCTAGAGTTGGGAGAGTTTATGAGATCAGTGTATGTAGAGGAGGTTGAGACGAACATTTTGAGCAATTTTTCATATCAATAGCTGCTCAGCGGAGTTAGCGATTGCATTTTATGAGGACGTCTTTGTTTTAGATGAGTTCCGTAGATAGATCTTCGCGCGTTCCCCGAAATTTAACTTTGTCCGACGAAAATTTTCTTTACGGCTAAATAGCCCATCAGATGGCGATTCTATATCTGTCATTGTTTTTGAAAATAATTTGAGGGAGAAAATGCAATTTTACGCGCCAGCATACTAATTCTACTGATAATTTTGTAATTTAATTTTCTCAACTTTGGAAGAAGCTAGAGCCAAAAACTTTTCACCGTTAAATAGAGCATTATTTATAGTATATATGTCATCATTCAAAATATAAAAATTGGAACCTGCGATTTTTCACCAAAATGCCGCCTAAATGCCCACTGTAGATTCTCGAAACGATGTTAAACTGAGGAGCATGCATTGCTTACTGATCCACCCCTGTTTGAGTAAAACATTGGTTTTTAGAGGCTTATTTGGACGCCGATCACAAATCTGCCCTTCGTCTTGAACCATACGGACTTAGAGATATGTCTTTAGACTGTTTAGAAGCCTAACAAACTTTCGTATGAAGAGATTCCAATCCATCAGAAAACGTTTTTTCATAGGTTATCAGTCATTTTTATTGTCATGTATAGACTGCCTCAATTCAACCAACTTCTTATTGGCTTATCTGGTCTTTGTTAGTCGGACTATGTCCTGTCGTGATTTCAAACAGCCAATTGCTCAAATCACCAAACACAGGAGAAAAAGAATTAACAAAAGAAGCGTATCTGGCGACACTTGATCCAGAGATTAAGAAAGCTTATGAACACGTAGAGTTTGATTCTCCTGAACAGATAGACAAAGCCTTCGCCGATATTTTGGCACTTCAAAACAAAGTAAGCATTCATCACTCAAACAGTATTCTCACTATTATAAATCGTTTGAAGGTACAGAAATCATGGAACGAAACCTATACAAGAATAAAATCAAAAATAGTTACAAAAACAAAGAAGAAAATAAATGAATCTGTGACGCTCAACATCTATAGTCAAAAGTCAAGCAAATCTCGTCCAGGTATTGGAATTATTATAACATAATTATAAATATTTCATCGTAAAGTATATTTATAGGATTGTACTGGATTCATCCGGGAGGATTTTTTTTTGGTGATACCGATTATGAAGATTTTATGATGCAGCGAATCGCAGAAGAACTCGATTTTGTTGTTGTGTCAGTTAACTATCGATTGTGGCCTGCTAAAGTTTGTTTTTTCAACTTACTAACTATAAATAATGTCTAATCTTCTTCTCTTGTTTAGTACCCAGAAATTTTTGAGGATTGTTATGCAGGATTGAGATATGTATGGGATAACGCTGAAAAGTTATCTATCAATAAAAGTCAGTTAGCAATTGGAGGTGCAAGTGCTGGTGGAGGTCTTGCAGGTGAAAATCTATCATTTCACCAATATTTATTCGATCTAACGCTAAATAGGATTTTTTAGCTTGTTGTGCTTTACGAGCTCGTGATGAAAAAAATGATAAAGAAGATAAAAATCCAATCGAAATTAATTTTCAGTGGCTCATTCAACCAATGTTAGATGATCGAACAAACTTGCCGTCAACAGTTAAACTTGGATTAAGCCCAGGATGGCCATCCGAAGCGAATCGTCTGGCATGGAAGCATTATCTAGGTGGAAATTATAGCAAAGAACATCATCCATATGCTGTAGCCTTCCGAGCGGAAGATCTTAAGGGACTTCCGAAAACATTTATTGGAGTTGGATCTGCCGAGATATTTCGAGATGAAAACATTATTTTTGCTCAAAGGTCATTAATTAACACAATTGTTCATGTTTTCTTATTCATTGTATTCTATGACTTTAGATTGCTTGACGCTAATGTTGTTGTCGAACTCAATGTTTATCCTGGTGTTACTCACGGTGTGGATAATTATCGAATTGACAATCCGTTCGACAAAGTTGCTGAAGAAGTTCGAGAAGTCAATTTGAACGCTTTGAAAAGAGCTTTTAGACAATAAGAGAATCTTTGAAATGAAAATTTCTTTTTCTATTATCGTTTTCCAATCAACAAAACATTATGAATGAATAATTCTTTCGTCATTGTGTAGAGCTAATTCAAAGCTTCGTTTACACTTAGTTTCAATTTTCCGTTAAGGTTTTGTATAAGCAATTTCAAATTTTATTCACAAATGAAAAATAAAATCATTTATTACAATGAAGAACGACTAATAATCGTAATTAAAACTATATGCATGTTGTGTATGTTTTTTGATTGTATGTAAAGTGACTCTTTCTAATAGTGAGAGTTGAAATTCAAATATTCGAGAAAATGCTGGAACATGAAAATTTCTAAATATCTTGGCTATTCTTCATGCTATAAACTTCGATTTTCTCACATTCGATTCAGAAGACAATCAATAAGATTGAACGCAGTATTTAATATCACTGTATAAGTAAAAGACAAAGTTTGTAGAGGTATTTCTTAGAACAGTCCATTTATATTTCCTATTGTTATTGTGAGTTGGCTCTTTTGTCGCGTATGAGGGGAAAAGAGCCACAGCAGTGCGTAGAGGAAAATCAGCTCGACCGTAGTCGTTATTAATACTGAGATTTTTCTACGAAATACAGATGACAAATAGTAGAAATACGCCGAAAATTTTGTGGACTAACTCTTTTTTTCTCAGGTAGGAGAAAGTTTCATTGCATTCTCATCATACTCGAGCCCGACGAAAAATCGGATTTTGTGCATATTTCGCCGTTTTCTGTCTAGGAGCACATAAAGAAATCAACTCATAATTAGAAAGCTCTTTCAAGCCTCTACAAACTGATATATTCAAAATATCTTCGTCGATTTGCAAAAGATCATTAAGTTCGACATAACAAGTATGACTAGAGGGTAAACCCATCAGCAGTTTTTCCTCAAGATTTGGAATCTACGATACAAATAGCGGACAATGGTGACGGTTTAGTAAAAGTTCGGTATCAGTCACGTCATTCTAATAGTGAGATATATAACACATACATTGAATATAACAACAGCATTCTAAATCCAATTCCCGGATGGTTTTGTACTTGTACAGCTGAGGAACGAACGGCCGGTTGCTCCAATCACATCGCTGCCACTTTGTGGCACCTTTGCTTGAATCAGACGGCTATCCAAGAGATTAATCAACCATCAAATAATTATCTCAATTTTGTAGAAGCTGCTTTAGAGTTTTCTTACGAGAATTCGTCGGACGAGGACAATGATACAATTTATATCAAATAAACTCGAGCGAAATATTTTAGAAAAATGGGTTTTTTCGTTTGTTCGAAAAAAGTTAGCTTAATGATCTGCTGGTCACATTTTTCTCTAGTCATACTTGTTATGTCGAACTTAATGATCTTTTGCAAATCAACGAAGATATTTTGAATATACCAGTTTGTAGAGAATTGAAGGATTATAATAGTGCTTCAAGATGGCCGGTTCCAAGTGAAGAACCTATCGGGATGGAGGGGGTTTAACCACTGGAAAGCATCTAAAATCGAATGTTCCTGGTTTTCTGCTGGTCACGGGACCATTTTGAGCAAAAAAAAAGTGGGCCAGTTCTTTAGCCTATACGAAGCCGTCCTTTCTATTACGAAAATTAGTACATGATTTACTGTTAACTTGATCCATTCGATCTGTTTCATACATAAATTGCCCGTCGCCACATGAAAAATACATTCGACGAAATAATGTTTTATCACATTTAAATGCATTAAATAAAAATGGACATTGGCCAGATTGTTCAACGTCAAATATATTTTGTTCATCTGTGCTATGCATACAATCGCGATAACCTTTTGAAAAACATAAATGAAAATAGCATCGTTGACAAGAACACAACTGAAGAAGATATTTTCACTTACCGTCGAGAAAATACTCGTAAGGAATGCACATTGCGTTTCAGCCTAAAATATTCAAACGTTGAGTAATGATAGCACAGTTAATTCTCTTGAAAGATGGTCGATAAAATGTCGATATGAACGATTACTTGTCAGCCGTTTCGCAATCCTAGATAATAACAAACAAGATGCTTACGTCGATATTCATCTAATTCACACTCACTAAATATCAGTTGCTCACAATTGTCCTCATCGGTACCATCAATACGATTTTGATTTCCATCGCATATATTCAATAAATTCAATCCAATTCAAACACAATAAACCGTAATCATACATAAAATTCGATTCATAACGTGTGTTCGATTTTCATAAATTTAACTGCCAAGTAGAAATTGTCTCTTTAATCTTAACTGATGTTCAATGGTATCTTCGAAATCTTATTTAACCGTAATTCGTTCGTATTCCTAGTATTTGCCAAATGTACCCAGTATTGAACAATTATATAAACCTTCATCATCTGAAAATTCAGTTCTAAAAATTAAATAAATCTTAAACTCTATTACTCACAGAATTCAGAAAGAAATGTGTAAATTCGGTACCATTTAGTGATGACTTTTCCATTCCATGTTTATGAGAAGCTCTCAGTAAATAATGACGCCCACGCACCCAAGTCTCGCATTTGCTCCTGTTCAAAGACGACCATTAATCGAGAGCGTTTCCATAGTTATGTACAGCATAAACCAATTTCCGTGAAAATAATAAAACGTCCGTGCACTCACAACCAGGGATGTGTTTTTATTTTTTAGAATAAAACATAGATAACCTGCGAATGTGCTAGTATTTCAAAGTTACAAAAATGCATTAAACGAGAAAATTCAATCAGGGGAAATTATTAAATAATAAATAACTTTTAGAGTTAAAATAGTGAGAAGATTCCATTCACTTTTCTAGTACCCTCAAAGTACGGGCTTGGAAAACTATAACTTTCTCGAAAAGAATGAGTTTCTCGAGGACCATATATCACATCCATACAGTGGAAGATTCTTCTTTTACTGGTTATATTCACTAGTACTGATTCT